TTAGATCGGGACAACGAGATCGCTTGTTCAGACAGCCAGAAAGGTACATGACACGCCTACAAATAAGCGTGCGTCAAGTTCCGACAGCGGAAGGCCCTGGAAAGCTCTACTTTCCCCATGGTCTCCCGGCATCGACACCAGGCAGTCGGGAAAAAGAAGCTAGGTCAGGAAGCATCAAACGATGGTTAACTTCCCTTCCAGCCAACGCAGTCTGTACCTTCTCTGATGGATCCTCGTCGGGTCCCGGGCAATCAGCTTGGGGTTATGTGGTATACCAAGGAGGCAAACTAGCTGGAAGTGGCTCGGGTCCGCTTCCCGGAGCAGAGGTATTCGACGCAGAAGTTGTAGGCGCTATGAAAGCCTTGGAGGCTGCACTAGCGGTGGGAGAAGGCTTTCCGGTCAGCATTCTTCTGGACAATCAAGCGGCCGTCAGAGCGCTCGAACAAGGAAGATCCAATTCCTCGCAGACAGTGGTGGACAAGTTCTCATCGCTGAGACATAATAGGCGTGTAGAAATACACTGGATACCTGGTCATGTGGGGATCCAAGGCAACGAAGAAGCCGATAAGCTGGCCAAATCAGCCCTGGGAGATCTCAATGACCAATCACTAACCTCAGCTTCGCCCAACGGAGACGAGCAAATTCTGACCTTTGCGGCTCTAGGGAGACTAGTGAAAATGCGGAGCCAAAAGCTTGTGGAAGAGTGGTGGCAGAAGTATCGGCCTAAACGATACAAAGATCTCGACCTCTACATGCGCTGCAAGCGACCGCCGGAACTGGCTCTGCCTCGATGGGCGTATCACCGTCTTATTGCGGCAAGAACAGGCCACGGGGACTACGCCGACTACCACCGGCGTTTCAACCCCGAACATGAAGATCTGATGTGCATTTGCGGCCGAGAGAAAAGGCCCTGGCATTTTTCAGAGTGCCGACCTGCTCTGCAACGTTGGAGAAGCTGTGAGAAAATGACTCCACCTGGGGTCAGGGAAATGATAGGGGAGAAGGGATGGCAGAAGTTTTTCCAATTCCTAACCATAAGCAGATGCTACAGTCTGCCGAAGAACTGACAGGGTGGGAGTGACCATGCTGAGATAGTTTCTGGCTCGAGAGGAGAGGTGTTTGGAAGATAGGGATACGGTGCAGGGCACCGTAACTCAGACATTTGCTGTGATTTTATTTTTCTTTTGTCGCTTCTGGCTTTAATGCCGGTCATGTAGGTAGCAATGAGCTCGTAGGGCCCATCTACCCGTGTCACGTCTAAATAGATGTTGGGTTCGTCCTGTCACGTTAAAGATTTCAAATTCAAATTCAAATTCAAATCCAAGGGACCGATCTTGGTCTCTCTAGATATTTCCTCTATGTATTGACCATGGAGAGTAGAACATGATCATGGACTTTGGGCTCTGATTGATAGCCACATAGATAGCTTGGCCCGTAGACTATTAATACCTTTCTACTTTTGATAAACACGTGGATTCCAACGTGCCAACTTCAAACTTGCACAGCCAGGCTACTGAGCCTTCGTGGGGCTCCTGGGTTTATTGCATCATCGAAGGCAGTAGTGAAGAGCGGTGAAGGGCGGTAAAGGGTTCCAGAACATTCGAAATATGTCACCACAAAACCTCAGGGCTTCGTGTATGTGTCACGTGAACATTCCGAGGGAAAGTGCGACTACTAGAATAGCTAATGGAATTTTGGCAGTCACCATGTCTCCTCAGGGATGGGGCTTTAGTTGTAAGTAGTGCCCGGTAGACATAAATAATGCAATTTTGGCTGGGTCAATGATAGGACGATTACATCTGATCCTCTACCTGTCCACACCCCCGTGTATCATAGCTATCTCGATGTGTCTTGCCACATAACGGCCATTTGATGCAGACTAAGCCGTCGGGACAATGATACACATTCAACATCGATTTAGACCATCCGGGCTGTAGGGCGCGCTTTGCACTTGCTCGTGGGCAGGCAAATAGCAGATGTTCCTAGGCCATACGAAAAATACTTTGGGACTTAGTAGTGCCAGCCTACTTTCATGGCTTGAAGGCAATCAAAGACGAATGCTTGCGAGTGTCGAAGATTGCTGAACTAATTGGATGTCACATGGTATCAGAGCCGGACTAAATATCACCAGCCTGAAGTATATTGAACGTATCACAAGAATCCTATAACTGGGATCTACATACTACTACTACTACTACTACTACTACTACTACTACTACTACTACTACTACTACTACTACTACTGCTACTACTACTACTACTACTACTACTACTACTGCTACTACTACTACTACTACTACTACTACTACAGCAATAGGCCTTCTTCCCCAATGCTTTCTAAATTGAACCAATCACCGAACCCTGAGGATTGGAAAGTAGTGGTGTGTGCAGTGAAGTATAAGTGAAGATGCCAATATTTCCCTTGGCACATGAGACTTTGCTGGCCGAGCTAGTACGAGCTTCCTGGGTCTCCTCGTGATGCATTCATTCCTAATGTAGCACATAGATATGGGAGCTTTAAGATGGCGGTCAAAAAGACAGAAAAAAATCGAGTCTTTTTCAGATTTTAAAAACTAAAACAACAGTTGGCTTTGCCGATGAATATTACCCTCACATAGTACTGTATAGCTACCTCATAGTGAAATTGCACCTTTTGTCTATAGTATTGTGACATGTTAGGTGTTCTAGGGGCTTCGAATAAATCACTGGTTAAACTTGATCCTTTCCTGCTTTCGACTATTCGTATGGCTCGCGGTGTAAACAGCATGCATCTACTGACCCAAGCACCACTGTTTACTCCACAAAAAGCTAACTTTGATCTATACCACGTGGGTAAGATAGGATATGAGGGATTTTGGATTGCTTCATCCGTTCAAGGATCTGATCATGGAAGTGGTGTGCACGCCAAAGTACCGACAAAGAGCTGGTGATACAGCCTCGGAGACTATGGCAAGCTCTCCCATTTTCGCACTCACGTCCACTACTACATTGATTTTGGGTTGCAGTAGCGCGCTGTTGATGAGTTTTCAAGCCACAGAATTGGCTTGGAAGTGAGCGGAACGCACAAGCATCTTGGTCTAGCTTGACAGCCAGAACAATGCATGATCCGAAGAGTTTCAGAGACTTGCGTGCTCTTCCAGCAAGATAACCCAGATAGAATACCATGCGAGCCAAAAAGACGTGGTACAAAATCCTGCTCAGCAAATAGTTGCTTGGGAGTTGACAATGTCGGCTTCATTTTTCGCTGACACCTGACAACGGATGGGTCGGCTTTGTGTTCGTCATGACTAGCTCAGAAACCTCAATTACCTCCATACCTCTGCCTCACCCACGAGATCTAGCTTTCTCCAAAAACTATGCTCAACACCCATCACTCTCTAGTGCGAGACAAGTCGCACCTTGGCAAGGTTTTCCTATCGTTGGATTTCCGTACCTGTATTCCTACATCTTTAAATGAGTATCCTTCTATTCGCCATCACTCGCCGGGGGGGGTACTACGTCTAGGACTTGGGCTTTCTGGGCGTAACCGGGAGTCATCAAATACACAAAAGATATCCGAACATCCATCGTATTTGTCGAGTCACGTCTCGTATTACTGCAGAGGTCGGTTATATGGGGCCACAGCGAAATTGCAGCGTTTTTCTGAAACTTTGCCAAAACCAGACGTCAAGCTTTTCGAAACTACTACGAAAGTGGCCTTGCTTTCTCCTAGATACTTCTCATAACCTTAAACCATTCCATCTCCATCGCCATCTTAGCGACACGCTGAAGTTTCCGCATCTAAACTAGGTTGTCATGGTCAGAAGAGCCAGCTATCATGTAAGATGAAATCCCCGATTATCTTGACGAATCAGATGTACCTGTCTTGCAGCCATGGCAAAAGTAACATGAATTGTAAGCCCCTTTCATCCCTTATCATTAATCGCATATCGGGAATCATTCACGTTTATTAAAAATCATCCATAATGTAACGTTATTCTCAGGATCTCTAGTCGGAGGATGAAGGTAGGGTTGCGCTCTGGGGTAGCGTGAGATGCCTGGGCACTTCTCACCGATTCAGGATCTACTGAAATTGCGATCCTTTTTGTACCAGGACGTCACCACACTCTTGCCTCCATTTTATCATTTTTTGAGCTTTTTTACCATCAAGGGCCAACTAGTTTTACTCACATAGGCCCAATATTCCATTGCCCAGGAGTGGGAAAAGCTTCTACACCGTAGATTGTTCTCTCGCACTCAGGTTGGACCAAATTGGTGTGCGTCATCCACCGAATGAGTGGTTAGAACAGAGTCTACGTTTGAGTGATAGGATATGTATGATCAAATCAAAAATTGAAAAGGCGTCTGAGTATGTAACATATTCTTATTTCACATTAATACGATGGTCAATTATATGATTTTAGAATCTAAAGGAGCGGCCCGCGAAAATACAGGCCCTAGAGACCACAAACATTCCTGGCCTCTATACTAAAACCTCGCCGTTTAATACGAGCTCTGATTTCTTGTATTTATAATGATTTGTGTGTTTGATGGTGGGGCAAATTAATACAACAACTTCGTTGACTAAACTTTACCTCACGCACAATCACTTCCCCCTCATCATCCAATTTGAGAAATGGTCTGTTATTCGAGCCCTTTGAGTGTTAATATGCCCAAGCACTTTCCTATGCTTAGTCACTCGAGTTTTTGAGCGCTGAGCCATGTAATGCGCCAAAAGAGACTCATCTTGACCTTCACACCCATGTCAAAAAGCTAAATCGTTTCCGGGAGATCTTGACCATCGTCAAACGAATTTATCGAGATACTTCTCTTCAACGTAGTCGCGGGTTTTGTGGTTTGATAGAAAGATACTACAGGTGTATGCAGCTTCAAAACACGTCGAGTCCCCAAGGGATCTCTGGCTGTGAGATAGCTGGGGTCCCTTGTTGGAAATAACTTTCAAACTAGTGGCATCATAATTGGGTAGATCATTGGGCGAACACGGGTATTGAACGTTGAGTTTAGACGAAATGCCGTTGACTTATTTTGGGATTCAGCGATACGTATAATAAAATCCAAGTCCAGGGGTCGGGGACTTTCGTTAATTTGCCTGCGGGAGTTAATGATATGGCCGAGGTCCCTGGCAATTCAACCCTAATTATCATCCTTTGCTCTTAAGTCGTATGCAACTGTGCGCGTTATCTAGAGGCATTCTCATCTCTCTCTTCTCTCCGTAGTATCTTTCTCCTCTTTACAATGAGTCCCTCTCCCTGAAACCACATCAAATTTCGATTTTCCAAATGCATCAATGGTGCGTTCAGGCCTCATGACGTTGATGCTATCAATGAAAGAGCCATCTCAGACTGGAGCTTGCACTGACGCGTTGAGAAGTCCTGTTGATATTGTTAGATGCTACAATAAGTGTATTGTCGCTCCATCTCCCACAATATCGTCTTAAACGAGAAACCTCTCTCCATGAACAGCTCATTCTTTTGGTGCAACACGAGTACGCGACGATTCTATCAGACGGAATTATTTGAGAGGAATCTGAATGTCTTCAGCGCTAACCCGAGCATCACTCGACGGCTGCTCCCGCCATTTCCCACAATATGAATCCCAAGCGACCGTTATCGGCGGATGAAACCCACCCTAATGGAGCTAAGCAGCCGAAACTCGAACATCCAGAAGAGTTTTCGAATACTGTCAAAAAGAGATTAGCCTCATCGACACGTACGGGACAAGCATGCGATCGTTGCAAGGTATTTTTTGTTTTGCAGCTCTTGCCGGGCTGACTGCTGTTGTGATAGCTTGAATTAATGTACTGCTAGGTCCGCAAGATTAGATGCGATGGGCTACCGGGCGGCTGCTCGCCGTGTCTGCAAAACAATACAGAGTGCTTCACCACCGATCGTATTACCGGCCGCGCCACATCACGCGGATATACGGAAGAATTAGAGCAGCAGGTCCGTGATCTGCAGCATCGGAATCGAGAACTGGAACAACGTTTACGGGCCCTCGATGTGCCAAAGATCACCACCAACCTTCACCATAGTACCATTAGTCAAAATGAATCGCCAAAGCTGCAACAAGAGCTAGCCACATCCCAGCTGCCGCAATCAGTATTCAAGGGTTGCGGAGCTACCAGCGTAGGAGCGTGTATGGGAATCTCCTCGCACAGATCAACCTTGGGGCCTCTAAGAGGCACGTCACTTAGCCTCTTGGGCATAGAAATTGATGTAGCCGATTTCTCTTCGGAAGATATAGATGAGCCCACAAACGAGGAAGTTTTATCTCAGCGTCGTTACAATAAATCTTATCAGTCCTTTTTACAATCCATCTTCAATGTCAATGGGGGAGGAAAAAAGGTCGAATTACCCGCCAAGCCCGAAGCACTAAGCTACCTCGAGCGTTACTTCAGAAACTTGAACCCTTATGTTCCCTTGCTTCACCAACCTAGTGTTACTCGTGTTGTAAGTCTATACACATTAAGAGTGACTAATTATTGACTGAAGACAAGTTTCATCAAATATACGATGATCCATCATTCCAACCATCTACCGCGGAGACTGTTCTTGTGCACATGATTCTCTCCATAATGCTGTTCCAGCAAGCAGTCCAAAATTCTGAGGACCTAGGCCTAGCATCACAGTTGAACGAGCGATCCAACTTACATTATCACTATAGTTTATCCACGTTCTATAATCTCTCATTAAACCATAGCTTCCAAGATTGCCAGGCCCTCGCATTAATATGCTCTCACATGAGGAACTTCCCCAAGCCGGGGGCCTGCTGGATAATGGTGGACCGAGCGATGGCAATGGCATTAGAGTTGGGTCTACACCGATCTTCCAAGAATTGGGTGGATCTAGAAACGCCACCGAATCTACTCGAGACTGAAATGCGCAAAAGAGTCTTCTGGGTCCTGCTTCATTTTCATGTCAACCTTAGCGGTAAGTTGGGCCAACCGATGCGCATACGTACGGAGGACTTTGACTGTGAACTACCAAAATATTTAAGCGATGAGTCGCTCGAAGAGGGATGCGATACCCCGAGTCAGGATTTCCCACATGCAATTGGACTAGAAGCCATTAAATTAGTCCCTCTTTTCATAGATCTCTACAGCGTCATTTACGCCGTACACAAAAAACAAGGGAGTTATGAATCGGTGGTTAATGACCTAGAGGCTCGACTCCGCGCATGGAAAGAAGCTCTCCCAGTTAAGCTTACCAAAGCACAAGAAGACCAGGGATTTGGATTGTATACCCAGATGTTTCAGCTAGAATTTCGATTGGTACTGCGATATCCCTCCATTTGGATACCTGGCACGGACGAGGCCTTCAATGCCGAAAGTATGCGCATATGTGTTGAATCATCCCGTCAGATGCTGGGCGTAATTCGAAAAATCCAAAAGATCAAGTCTCTTGATTCGACTTGGTGTAACGCTGCAGTCTTTACTCAAGCTATCACAACTACTCTTATAGCACAATGGAAAAAAAGAGAAGAGTCTACTTCAGCCGACCTGGCTGCATTGAAGGAAGAGATAGACTTGTGGCTGAACATCATGAGTGAGGTTGGAAAATTCTTAGGCGAGTAAACTAGTATTCGTGCTCTTTAGTTTGAAACTAATCGGTCCAGGTTCGGGTAATCGGTTACGGGAGACAATTCGAAAAGTTAGTGATAGTATATTAGGTCTAATCAGCAGAGGGCTTGTACAAAAGGCAACAATGACATCTAATAAGGCCCGAAAAAGCCTCGAGAATCCACCATCTCCCCGATATCGTCGAGGATCGACAACTACTCACGTAAGTGCTGCACCTCGCCAAACCTTCGACTGCAGTAACATGGCTCTTAATGAGAAGCCACGATCTCCCATCATCACCACTGAGAACCACGCCTCGCACGTAGCAAAATCATACCCGACCCCATCGCCGTACGTTGGATGCTCAGAGAACGTGTCTTCATCTAGTCTTACATACTCATCGCCACACAATTCTCACAGCTATTCAACCTACAACTCAATGCAAACCGCGCCGGATATACCCTTACGATCTGCCCTCACGACGCCGTCATCTCAGACGCTCTCGCATCATAACACCACCGAATGGCATGGCCCAACAGCACAGAATTTTAATTCACAGGTGTGGACCCAATGGACCAATCCAATATTAGAAAATGTAGAATCGCGAGATTCTTTCAGTGCCAATGAACTGACACAGCTAGGCGGGGCAGAGCTCGGTAGTAGTGGTAATTCCCCAATAGATACTGCAATAGCCGGTATAAACACTTCGAGTCGAAGGAACTTGAACGTAGACCATGGATCCTTAGGGCTGAGTAATATAGATCCTGGTGGGTCAAGCGGACTTGATGCAAATGATTGGCCCATAAATTTTTTCATGAAATGAATCACGGTGTATGGGGAATTTTCTGGGGTTCGAATATATGAAGTGATGAGTAAGTAGATGTCAATGATTAATCTACCGTAGTTCAGGCTAGTGTTTTGGGTTTGGAGTTCGTCTCTGGGGTCATGAAACGTTTCGCACATGTAATCTTATGCAACTTTGCTAGAATTGAGTTAATGCGGAGGAAATTGGCGTCAGGCAAGAAGTATTAAAAGTTGGTGGGTCGAACTTGGTTGCTGGCTATCAAGAGAAAAGTGGTCTCCTAGGAACTTTAGACAATTTCTGCGAATTACAAAGGCGATTTGCCCTTTGCACTGACACGCTCAGTGTTTGTAGGGCATAAAGACTCTAGTTCTTTGGAGATAGGTTGATGTAGTTAGACCCCCGACATACTCCCCCAAGGATCCTCTAAAATAGCTATTACTCAAGGCTCCAATGCACCGTCACATGGTGGAGCTGGAGGAATTTGAAATCTGGCAAGTAGCGTGATCTGTTGAGGGGTAAAAGAGGGCCACCGATTTCACAATTGACCTAAGTTCTCACGAACTAGGCAGCGAAAATAACCCTATGGCTCCTTTATTACACACATCATATTGTATTCAACTTAATAGCTATGACAATACCATTTGGCTCGCTTTGTGTATTTTGTTTATTGTCCTACCTTGAGCCACCCTCTATCTAGCACATTGAGCTTCTCTCTCACCCAGATCACACCTTGTGCAGCGCTCCAATCCGATTTTGTCACTTGTTTTGTGAGATACGTGGCAACTGGTTTTACATTGAAAACGTTGACCTGAGACTTACTACGACGGGTGAGATCTGTTATATACCGTGCATGCCCAGTCCGCGTTGCAAACTATGGTACTTTTTGACTTCAGATTTGTCGAGGAGTACATACTTTGCAGCTTTAGCTTCAAGTTGTGAGGAATGTAAACCACAAGAGGAAGTGGGTGAAAGGCAGCTCTAATGTAGAAAGTTGGCTATGATTAGAAAGTTTGGAAAGATGGGCAGGGACTAGACGCTAACGTGCACGTACCACATGTACTCACGCTACCGTAGCTAGGGCCAGGTTGAGGCGAGGCCGTAACTACAGTAAAGATTAATCTTCATCGTATTGGTTGTCCATGTGAGTTATTAAAAGGAGGGCAAAGTCTGAATACCTCTCCACCGTGGCCTCTACGAACCTGGGAGTGTAATATTCTCCGAGAGCCAAGTTCAGATAAATTTCGCAGTACCAAACAAGTTGGCCCACGAAGCAATGATTCAAACTACTCCACGTCAACTTTTCACTCCCAACGAGATCGACTCCTACCTGAGTCTCATCAAGCCTACCAGGACGACCTAGTACATCCTCATTCAAATAATCACACCTCTCGTCGACTTTCTCTGGCCTCAATTGATATTACGGGCTTGAAGGTATCAGGACAAGGTCCCTGAACAAGGTCTGGAGATCAATTCAGTAGTGTCGATCTTAGATAACACTAATATCACCCCGGTAAAATATATTCGCGCTGTAAACCCTTAACTGCACCGTAGGGACATCTTTTGGATATCATGCATTTAGATTATCAGAATAGACTTCGTTAACTTCGTTCGATTGTTTAGATCACGACTCATTTCGTGACAGTTGACCACCAAATACACGGCCACGCCGATATTTATATCTGACGGAGGAAACAAAGCATGGCACACAAATTTGCGAGGAAGTTCTTAGGGATGAGCGTGAGATATATCAGGGTGTTGGAGTTTATCACATTTGTTGGAACTATGAATGACTTCCCTCCGTACTACAATCTAATTTCTTTTCGCTGATGGGCGGCTCTCTTGTGTATTTGTCGGCCGGCAAAGACGAATTCTTCACCGTCCAGTAGTGCCGGTGTAATCGCTCAGTATGCTCTGCATATCTGGGAGAGCCAAAAAGAATCGCAACCGAATCGAAGTCAGAAGCAACCCCAAGCATATCTCCAAATGACGTCTCTCGATAATGCAGCACTCACCATTATCTTCTGAGTCCTCAACCTCGATTTAACCACACATCATCTCGCCTCGCCGACTGATAAAGACGTCACCCCAATTGCAAACAGGAGCTTGCCTCATACATCACCGGCCATCACTCACTACAAATTTACGATGCTACGTATACCCACAAGGAGGAAATTAAGTCGTAGTATACAAAGCTCGGATCATGGTCTATGTGGGACTGTAGCTCTAATGGGGCTATACATCTTGCGGGAGAACAGGCGGCCGAGATGTGGAGCGAGAGGGGAAAGAAGTCTCTGAAGACCATGCTGAGACTGATATTTTCGAGGGGTTTTAATTATGGAACGTTTGTGGGCGCCAAGACTAAGGTTTCGGCAAATAAGCTAAGAGGACTTCTATAGTCGACGAGTCAACGGCACTTCCCAGCGCCCCGGACGGCACGAAAGAAGCTAGGCTAAGCTGCTATACAGAAATCATGCTCTGTCAAGACTTTTCAGACATTTCAGCACGACCTTCGGGAAGGAGTTGGAAGGAGGCTAGAAAGGCAGAGTGTGAATTTCTAGAGGTACCCACAAGTCTGCAGCGCCCAGCTGGCCGGCCTTTTCGAACGCTTTAGAAGGATCACAATCTCTTCGGATTTAGTCATAATGTCGGCATTAGGAGAGCTCCGCACCCAGTGATTTTTGCAATTTTTCCTGGCTGCCATACACCCGCAAATGACCATAGCTTCGTTGGCTAGAGAGGAGAGATAACGAAGGGCAAAGGGCTCCTCTAAGTGTATGATCGAATGAGAGCTTATGAGGGGTGGTACTGTTCGAGGGAAGCTGTATGGGAGGCATAGGAGGGGAATTACTACTGCTGTAGTTATCTTTGGCCTGTAAGCAGAGAGGACCTGCATGTCCTACACAGTCATAGACTCAGATAGGACAAGTAGATGGAAGATAAAATTCGAGCATAAGTTGGTGCTGACATACTGAATATGCCTGTGCTAAATAGCACAGGCTACAAACAATCTATCGGCTTATTAGCCATCACATGAAGTAATGAAAACTCCACGCTACTTGTTCTGAATTTGTTAGTAATAATCTGGATGTGGTGGTGCAGAGGTTATTCTCTTAACTCGGTTAGGGCCAAGGCAAAGAGATTTAGATTTGTTCTCTAGTTCAAACAATTTAGGTTTTTAACAATTTTATTAAGGAAATAATGACCCCTCAGTCATTGAAGTTGTAGAGCGCATTGATTCAAGTAACTACCGAAGTGAAACCAAGTACAGAATTTGTGGTCACGTGTGTATCAGCAACATGGCCTACCTGATAGCCCAAAATATTCTAAATTCTAACAAATTTGCTTATTTGGAACTCGCTATTTTGATAATATGATAATATGATAATTTGAATATATGAATTCGTAACCTTTGATAATCCGAGCCTCTATTACCTCATTTGTCCCTCCGTAATCAATTCGCATCTTCGAACCTTCGATAATTCGTCTTCGTTGGCATCGACTCGACCTCTGCGCCTTAACAGCTTCGAAAACCTGCCAACAAGTAGATTCAAAACACTACTCCTCATAGCCTCTCAGGACTAGAGACATCTCAAAATGTCTCACATTACTGAGTCTACAGCCAGGATGATAAACTGTCTCATTATTATGGGCTGAAGCCGTCCCCACAGCAAATACAAACATTAGAGATGTAGGCTTGAGCCACGATAATTCCACTGCAACGCCCCCCGGCTCAGCAATCCACCATCAACACTCGAGTCTAGTATTAGGACGCCTTTGAAGGCTACTCTTCCAAGGCGTGAGGGCAAAGCTAGGTGGCGATTGTATCACGTGCATTGTAGGAGAGTGAGGCGGAAAACAAGGTTAAAACTGCCAAAAATGCTTCTAGACCCAAACTAGCCACTACAAAGATTCCGTGTTCTATCTGCACCTCACCTTGTGCCGAAGTCTCAGCCCCATGCAATTAATTCCATGCTGCGTAACCAGTAGACTCAGACGTCCCGCCCTACAGAGCCACAAAGATAGATGGACATGCCCGAGGCATCTCATATTATACTAGTGAGGATTACTCGTTGCTTGTTATCAAGGGAGCTTTACTGTTTAGCTAGTGTCATTTGCTGGGGCTGGACTTTTAACTTAGTAGTTGCTGGCCTGAGGAGCCGAGAATAGTTGTAGATTAGAGGGCAGCACATCCGGACCTTTGCCGTTACCTTTAAATCTTATGCTTTTAGGATTCAATTCCGAGCCCCTCTTCAACTTGATCACCTAGTGTTGCGCTTCGATTTCGTATATGTTTCTTTAAGGAATTGATGGTACTACAGGGGCTAGACTTGGAAGGCGCGGCGTTAGTGCCGTGGTGTCAAACAGATTACCCTAAATTTGTCAGGCTATGACGCTCATCATCTATTGGCAAAAATTAAGCACAACAATATACAAATTTACTATTAACTTTAAAGCTATTTAGATAGTTTTGGCTGTCCTGCATAGTCATAGACTTAGTAGGGACATAAATTCTATTCTACCCTAAATTTAAATATAGTATCACGATGTTTAAGTTGAGTAGTTTACAAGAAAGTATACGAGGCTGATGCGTCAAGGGCAATAACTTAGCCATGCAAACGTTACAACTAGCGACTAGACGGATGGCCAATTTCCTACGCACAACTCCCTTATTATTTCATTCCTTCTACAGCCCATGATAATGTCACTGCCAATTTTAGAACCATGTATGGAACGGAGATTTGTTTAGTTTGCATGGGCAATCTAATAGTCAGTCTATATTTGTAGTTAGTAGAATACTCAAGATGTATATAGTACCTAGATATATTCCTCATGGTGGAGGACAATCAATTCAATCATCTCTGAGAGAGACTCACATAAGTGTGACTTTGCCTAACACTTGGTATGCAGATATTCTAGTATGGAGGAAAAACATGGGAGAGATATCACAGATAATACAATCAGACGATTTTTACCGCTACTCATTCAATGCTATGAAGTCAATCGTAAATAATTAAATACCTAGGGGTCGTTTAGATTGATATTTATATTTTTTGCCTTTCTTACTTTTTAAGGCAGAATAGGCCGTATAAGATGATGCAGTTGGTATTGGATCAGACTCTGGAGTGGGTGGAGTGGACATGTCAACTTCTTCCTGTTGTACTATGGCCGAAGGGATGTCTTTTGCCAGTGATTCTGTTAGTTCTGCAGCTGTGTCCGACTTCTGGGGAGACTGGATAGATACCTGACTCCTAGGCTGCTCATTGTTGAACATCTGCGGTACCAGTGACTCAGCTGCCATCACAAAGGAAACCATCAATTCTTGCAGCGCATTTTTGTGGCTCTCGCATACTCCAACTATTTTGTCGAGCGCGTTTTCAACACCGTCTAAAACGTCTCTATTCCCATGTAGTTGCTTTTCCGACCTGAATTCTTCCATCATATTCAAGTAATTAGTCTTTGCGCCTCTCATGGCTATATCCATGTCCACTATGCTCACTTTTAGTGCATCTACATTCTGCTGAAACGTTTTGTTGTCGCTCATAAAATGCATGTTGAAAGACTGGTGAGAGAGTTTGCTGTTCTTGATAGCTGATTTTCAAAGTCAATAGAGTATGAAGCTGTGTGGCAGAGATTGCGAGCTAGAGGTGCAAGATTTGTAAAAGTAAATGTCTTGAAAGTCTTGTCATGGCCATGACACAACAGCCATGAGAACATACTTATTAAAGCATCACTAATTGTCAATACTGTTTCCTCCATGCCTGTATATGCTGCACCATATCTCTTTGTGGCAAAATATGGATCGTGCGTTTCTGCAATTTAGTCTCACGTATGAGTCTGATGCTGGAGAAATATTCACTATTTACTTTTCTGAGTTATCATATCTCATTTGCCCGATCCATGTTACAATTAGGCTTTGATGCAGCCCATTCAAGTTGTGGTAAGTTACATACTATTTCATTGTTAGGTGAGTGGAGAACCTCCATCTATTCATTTTGGTACTGTCCAAGAGGCCTTTGTTGATGAGAATTTTTTGGTTGAAAGTACTAGAATAGGCTACATGCTTGATTCTTAATATTATACAATTCATATAGGTAGTGTCATCTTTAACACACGATAAATTGGGATCGTAGCTATGACTCTTGTCTTCGAATCAAAGTCGATGGCCATCAAATCTATTTGTAATCTTTCCTTGCTCCCGAATGTAGCTAGTAAGAACGAAATAATTCACCTTTTATATATTTAGCACGAATAATGCTCGTCAATATGCCCCAAGCCGTATGGTCTATAATTATGGTGGCTATGCACATCTGAATCTTTTAAGAGAGTCGATCAAAGCAAACAAAGATGTCTAGAAATGTGAACAGAAGGGTGCCCTAGTGGTGGATCGATAGTACAGCGACTGCAGTAAAGCACTAAGCCTTATAAATAATCCGTGGTAACAAAAACTGCCATGGTTCTACAGCAGTTCATGACAATGAAATTCCTGTCAAGATAGTTTCTAAGCAAAAAAGTATTTCCACATATGTCAGTTTAAATTTAATCTCACTTGGCGTCCTTTGATGGGATTAGCTATTCATGAACATAAAAAATCAGACGCATAGTGATAGTGATATCTATATCCACTTTAGCAGAACGTACGTTAGTGTAACTTGGCGTATGATGATTTTTTCCTTTTGATGAGAAGCTCTTGAAATACATCCGTAGCATGCGTGGCTATCTTTGTTTTGGAAGTCGATAAATTTAGCAAATTTACCGAGAAACAGTTCCCTTACTATTTGCTACACGTTCCCGGAGCCGTAAGTGCTTAGCGAGTAAATGTAAATCATTTTAGTCATCTTAGTTTTGACCATTAAATTTCTATGTATCTATGATAAGTGATTAGTTCTGTGCGCACATGTAGGATGACTCTTTTGACTTTCGAGAAATTTTTACTCTATATTTATTCGAAGGTGATACTTTGAGGTTATTTTGTTTACAAAGAGCAGTCGACCATTCTCTGTGATTTCCTATGAAAATGATTTTTATGAAGGAAATAACGTCCCATCATTCATTGAAGTATTAAGGTACATTGATTCAAGTAACTACCGAGGTGAAACTAAGTACCAATAACGTGGCCTTCTTGATTGACCCAGTTGTTCTAACTTTTAACAAATTTTCAAAATCCTTGGTTGTCCAAACATTCTCTCGTTGTTCATGCACAACACCAACGCAAGAAATGAAGCTATTCTTTGCCGGATTCGAGTTAACCATCTCCTGTTACAGGCGGGACATGTGTCAAAGCCTTCCAGTCTCTAATTGTCCGACTGTTCCGGATAGTATACCACTTGACTATCTAGCCATGGCGACATTTATTGTACTAACCTCTCACTCTTATTTAAAGGTTTGGCCCGCCAAATATACTCTAGTTTGTCAAAACCATGGTCAAAGTTCAAATAACACCCATCGAGATTTTCTTCATCCTTTGTGTCGTATTGTCCATCTGTCATGATTTCTTTCACGTTTACCCGCAAGATTCACCTCTCACATTTGTGCGCCATAATATGTATTGCCATGCGTGTATCTAGAGGCCAGCTGGGACTAGATACTGAGTCGACGAGAGATGTGACCAATAGAGTGGGGTAGTACTAGGATACGCACACAGAATTGACGAGGCTTTCGTGAGAATTAATCACGTTGGAGGTGAAGATTTTGTGTAGTTGAGGGAGTGAAACATTATCATGTGGGGCTTGTTGTAATCCAATGCTTTCCATCCTCGGACTTCATTGTGAGCAATAGTTGTATTGAAAGTGATTCCATGCGAGGGAGAGGGAACATACTGGCTAAAGCCACCAGCTAAACCTAAGCGATTTGACCCAGTTTTAGATGGAAACATCTTCTTTGTAGTAACGAGAAATTGCCCAGAACTAGTATAATAACAATAGTAAGGATATTATACATCAAAGTTTCAGTTATCCCATACATCGTGACCCATCAACCTCTACCTTATCTCTTTCACTCAACAACAAAGCTTCAACAAGCCCAGTCATTGGGTATAGTGAACTTCGACTGAACGTGGATGCGGAAGAAATTTTATCTGACAGTTCGTAAAGAATACCGCTCATAGGTGCTCACTCTTTGTCTTCCGAGGTCTCTGTTAGTTTCATGGAACTGTAGTGTATATAAAAACGTGCACTAGCTATTTTTACACTAATCAAGCATCTATGGAGCACAAGCGTCAGATCCTTGTTGACAGAGCAAAAGGCAAGTAATGATATTTGCATCAGGCTCTTATACATGTACAGAGATTCGCTATTTCAGTTTCGGAGAAATCTGGCGGTAGCGCAAGAATTCTCTTCGTGACTTATCAAACTGTGGATAGTTTGGAAGCGATCAATACAGAGTTTAAGGTGTTAGGTTTACAAAGCTTGGAGTTACTTGTTTCGGACAAAGGTGTATCGCTTGATTTGTGGCAATGGGAACTCTATATCTTCTGACTACAGATGTTTGGTTCTAAATCATGAGAAACTCGGTTCATGGGGACAGGTTGGGGATAGATAGAGCATTTGCCATTTTCTGGACGTACATAATCTAGATAGTAACAGAAAGAGAAATGGCAGCCGGGAATTAATTGACACTATTTACTTCTTACATTATTCAATTGACTCGTAGAGTCTAACATGACTAAGTTGACAATCTCTCATACTTCTAGACCTGAGTGCATTCGAGTGTGTCTTGTGTGACGTTAGTTGAGATAATTTTTGAAATATTAATATATATTCATCGAAAGTTGGTTTTTTCAGGATGAATACTTCCGTGTTTATTGGGAGATTATGCTTGCTCAGATAGATGGCTACATGGAACCTATGTCTAGTTGAGGATCCCGAGCTCCAGGTTCACATCGAGATTGTATCTCTCGCATTCTTTCGCCACAATCCAGGCGACTAGACCCCTCACTCATTCCCTACCGTATCCTGATTGGTCACTTTGCTATGTATTATTGATGGTTACATTATCTGGAGTATGGGAGATTTTATGTATTTAAGGAGGAATTAGAACGTCAGTAGAAATGAAAGTTTGCACTTAGTCTTCAGCTCTACACACATGGATTGTCACAGTCGGAGCCACGAGGGATGCGTGAATCTCACAGTCAACATTTATCATTTTATCCGTACTAACGTGCACAAGAAACTCCATAGCCTCGAGGTCCAAACGCTGTAAAAGATATTATGGCCGGCAAAGACGAATTGTTCACCTTCTAGTGGTGCCAGTGAAATGGCTCAGTATGCTCTGTATATCTGGGATAGCCAAGAAGAATCGCATCCGAATCAAGGTCGAAAGCAATCACAAATATATCTATAATCGGTAACTTCTCTGCTGTGTCGGTCTCGTCATTCTCACGCGAGTCCTCTACCTTAATCTTACTACGCCACCTCGCCTTGATGAATGAAAAAGACTTGACTCCAATTTCAAGCAGGAGCTCGTCTCATTAATTACCGGCCATCTCCCACTTTAAAGATATTTCGCTACCTATACCCGCAAGGAGGAGCTCAGTCTGCGCTAATATTACTTCCGAATAGCTAGAAACAGCCTAGTTATATCAGTCTTTCTTACCTTCAGCTTCTTGTGCACAGGCGAAGACATTGATTGATAGACAAATGATGGTTAACTGCTTGCGCAGCTCGATACCAAGACTTGGACCTGCAAATGCGAAGACGTAAACCTCCAGGACTACCGTTGCCTCGGGGATTATTTCACGAACTCATTGTTGCGACAATAGGGCATGGGGATTCTACGGCATATCACCGTCGCTTCAAGCCGAAGATGTAAACCTGCATTGATGCTGTGAACTAGAAAAAACGCCCACCCACTTTGCACGCTGTCGGAGATACAATACTCTGACGCGTAAATTTTGAGGAGACATGAGTCTAGATGCTTTTACTAGGCAACTCCTTGGACACAAGGTTCCATGGACAATTACTGAGCTGAATGGTTATTCATCACGGGCAACATATCAATGATCTTTCAAGTAATAAAAGAGGCGAGGAGCACTGTGTACGGTGTAGCCTGGGCCAAAGAGGAGCTCAATGTGCCAAATAGTCTATGACATAAGTAGTATAATAAAAATATCACATCACATCTTCGGATATTAATGGTTAGAGAAGAAGAAAAAATATCAACATTCCGAAAAGTCGACCTCATAGATCTTTACCCCATAATTCAACAGCCTATTATGATAGTGATGACAAGTAATCCTACGAGAGGATTTAAAGGCGGAACGCCTTGCGCGGGCTCTAGAGGTGGTAGCGTCGCGACAAAGGTGCCGCAATACACGACCGCGTGCCTGAAAAGGGTCAAAGACGCAACTAAAGGCGAAGAGCTTTCCAGTAGAGCCTACAGGAAAATTATTGAATAGGCAATACAAATAATAAAAGGTCTCCCAAAAGCGAAAGTCTCCCCCTCTAAACCCTCACCAGCAAACCCCGATTGATGAAAGCTCTGCAATGGCTAAGATTCTCCAGGAGATCAAGGGCATTAAAGAGAAAATCATGCAGAATTATTATGGTTGGGATATGGTTTGGGAATATATTGGAAATCAAGACTTAATATGTATGAAGGTTTAGATTTCTAGGTATGATTATCAAGGTCAATTGAATTGATTCGATTGCATATGATTAAGCCCAGCTAGGCTTCGTGAGGCTCAGTGGCTGGGAAATGCTACCTTGCAATAACTGAGTGGCTGACTGTTGCCAGATCACTTGAAGTTCGGCATCACTAAAGCCTCGGGGATTTGTATTTAACAATAGACTTATTTGTAAATGTTAAGCTTAGTTAATGGAACATTATATATTATTAATTCATATGGAGAAGAGAGTTCGATATCATATACAACTATCAATAAACTCTTGTTCGAAATTGTACACTTGTTCTTCGAGATATCTCCTAGAAATCTTTGAAAATCCTAACAAGTAGAGAGATGGTTTGCTTATTCTAAAGCTCAAAGAGCTGAGACGGCTTCAGCACCGAAAATAGTGATTGTGCGGTTGAGAGGAATGAGCTTTCCGAGTAAGATTCGGTCTATCTGAGATATAGCTATCCCGCCGCCTACACAAGGCCTAGGGCTAATTTGGTAGACTGGACGCATCCTAGTTCTGGGCTGAATGCAAGCACGGATTTTGGCATAAATGCAAGGGCAAATATGCTGGCAGAGGAGAGCTTAGGATGGGGAATGCTGACTCAACATCAATTACTATTTCTTCTCTCTTCACTGCATTATTTGTTTAATGAGCTCAAGGTTTATTAGCTCTAGAATTGGAGTGAACGAGCAGGGCTCCTCTGAGTGTATGATTGAGTCAAACTTGTGAGGGGTCTTACTGCTCGATGTGGACTGTGGCACGCTAAGCAGACACAGGGACTCCACGTCTAACATAATCATATGCCGAGAATGAATAATTGATATGAAAATCAATATCCCGATATTGCAACAGCACTGTCAAGATCTCAAGAAAAAGGTAAGGTTCGCGAGATCATTAACATACAAGAAGAAATAATGCATGATAATGAGTAATACACCACACTCATATAATCACAAACAGAGACATAGCACCCTTCTCTTTCACCAAGTGAACGTGGGAAAGGGCGGACCGAACATGGACATAGCGCTGCAACAAGCTTGGGATGCAGAAGTACACATAGTCATGGTATAAGAGTCATGGACCTTGCGAGAAGACGGAGATTTCACTACGAAAAGCCACCATGGCTTCAATAGTTCCATACCCTTCGGAAATACGGTACCGAGATCACGACCACGCGCCGTCACTTTTGTCAGGAAAGGACTGCAAGCAACACAGATTACGCCTTCGTCATCAAGTCAGACGTCAGACTAATGCTTCGTGCAGGTGTCCGGACTGACCTCTGTAAACGTCTATCGTGCGCCAGGCCCCAGCGGGACTTTGGATCCTTTACTATACTGGCGTCCCAATGGCCCTTCAGTAGTGGGAGGCGATTTTAATTCAGTCTCACAGCATTGGCAGCCGTTAATAGAACGCCAATACGGTAATGGCGATCTCATCATGGGATGGGCCCGCAAAAATGATATGCAGCTACTAAGCACTATTGGAGAAAGCACCCACCGAGACGGAAATGTGCTAGATCTAACCTGGAGTAACACGACGGCTTTTGCAGCAGTCTTAAACCGCTTTCACTGTACATCAGACTACTCTACTGTTGAGGGCTCAGTTGACACACCCGGGTACTCGGAGCTATCTAGAATCCCAAGACTAACCCGTGTTAGAGACTGCGATCTAGATAAGTTTGCACGATGTGTGAAGCAATGGGTAAGGCCTAGACCCCTAAGTAGTCAAATCGAGATTGAGGACTCCGCGAGGGGCTTAATCCGAGTACTTCAAGATGCGGCCAAAGTTGTCGGACGAGCATCAGCTGTAGGAAGTGGGAAAACAGCGCCTTGGTGGACTGAGGACTGCAAAGAACGACGGATTGACTACAGGTTAGCTAAAAGAACATCTGGAGATGTAGGAACGATATGTAGGGCTTTCCGAGCCGCAGTGAAGTCAGCCAAATGCGAATGTTGGAAAAAGCAAGTCGAAGCAGCAGAGATAGAAGCACAAGTGTTCAAACTCATGCGATAGGCCAAACCAAAGCTGACGAAACAGCCTCCCCCTCTCCAGGTATCACCAAACCAGTGGCTTTCAGATCCACTCGAGCGGACAATCGCACTGCGTGACTCCCTTCTGGGAAGATTCGACGCTAGAGGCGATGTAGAAACATGGGAGAATGGTTAACCAGAGTCTATCCCATGGAACAGAGAGGTCTCGTTGGAAGAAGTTACAGCGTCAACCATAGGAAGTAAAGAAACGGCTCCAGGATATGACAAAATCACCGTCCGACTACTCAAGGCTTGCTGGAACTCGATTGGAACAAATGTCAGGGACCTCTTTCAGGCATGTCTGAACTTGGAATATTTTCCAACACCCTTCAAGGTGGCGGAAGTTGTACTACTTCCTAAAATTGGACGCGATCTCTCCAGCCCAAAAGGATGGCGACCTATATCGTTACTCTCCAGCTTAGGCAAGGGACTGGAAAGACTAATAGCTAAACGGATGTCCTGGCTTGCGCTAAAGTACAAGGCAGTACCTTCTCAACTATTCGGCGCGCTACCAGGTCGCTCAGCAGTCGACCTGGTATCGTGTGTCACACACGATGCAGAATCTGCAATGAGATCCAAAAAAGTCACAGCTATGCTCACGCTGGACATTCAAGGTGCCTTCGATGCAGTGCTACACAATAGGCTGCTCGCACGAATGCGAAGTCAGGGCTGGCCGCTATCACTCTGTCGCTGGGTAGAATTGTTTCTGAAAAGACGAACAGTCTTGGTAAGACATGAAGAAAGCGTAACAGATCAGAAGCTTGTTGAGTGTGGTGTCCCTCAAGGATCACCACTTTCGCCACTTCTATTCATGTTATACATCTTGTCACAGTTCGAGGTATAGATGCTGGGGCGATCAAATATACGAAGGTTGTTTATTATTTTCTGTAACACAATATGTGTGTCCTAACTCAACTATTTATACACTTATTAGGCTATCTAGAATATTCCTTCCTGTCTGATACTAGCCTCTGTTATGTTTCCCTGATACCAGTTCACAGTCTCGATGCCAGTTGCTAGAATCCTCTAGTCATGTTCAGAATAAACTAGAGTGAAGTTTCGCCTTTCACAGAATTGTTGAGGCACGTGATTAACATCACGTGATACAGGACAATTATCGGCTCACTAGCCGTTACACATCTCAATCCTACTCGAGAATGGCACTCCAAACTGTAGATTCGGATATACAGACGACATCGCCATTGTTCGAGTCGGTAAAAGTCCTAGTGAAGCTGCTGAGGCTGTCCAGGTCGAAGTAGATAGGATAGTCCAACTAGCTTCGTTACACATGATTAGATTCGACCCTTCAATGTCTGAGCTCCTGATCATTGGGGGTGGACCAAAGAAGAAACTAGACTCATCCAACCTAACGGTTAGAGTTGGGGAACAGCTCATTACGCCCTCTACGCATATTTGATGGCTTGGAGTTTGGCTCGATTCCCAACTAACATTCAGACAGTATGTTCAGGAATGGTATAGCAAGGCACAGCGACTATCCCATTTCATACGTAGCGTAAATAGAGTCCAACGAGGTGCGGCTCCGGGAACATTTACACGTGCGGTGAATGCATGTGTAGTCAGTACGGCTTTCTATGATGCAGAAGCCTGGTGGCCTAGACTTACCCGTATTATGCTGATACATGACAAGAAATTAAGTACGGGTGTCGGATAGCACCTCAAGTTACTAGAAAGGACTAGTTTGACCGCAATCCAAGCTGCACTACCAGTGTGGCGAGCTACACCAAACATTTACTGTACCGGGAATCAGGGATCTTACCTGCAGAAATAATACTTCAACAGCAACAGCTCCGAAGTGCGGCAAGAATTCGCCGACTCGACAGTTATAATCGACAGTTATCATCCACTATCGTCAAGGGCAGCTGAGACACCCAAGGAGGCAATCAAGCGACTCCAACTACGAGAGGGGCAGAAAGAACGTGTCTTCAAGGTTCCACAGCGATATTTAACACGCCTTCAGAATTGGAACCTCAGCCTGCCAGCATCAGAAGGGCCTGGGCAGCTTTACCAACCAAAGTCAACGATGGCTACAGCTAGGGCCAAATGCGACAAGGAGGAAAAGGCGAGGCAGATCATGTTTTGGCTCAGTGATCTTCCTCCAGGAACACTTTATGTCTACTCGGATGGGTCATCGACCGTCCCAGCATACTCAGCTTATGGTTATGCTATATACAGGGGCGGTGAACTTATAGCGAGCGGTGGAAAGTTCCTACCTGGAGCTGAGGTCTTTGATGCGGAAATCACCGGGGCAGTACGAGGCCTAGAGGCAGCGTTAGAAATTGGTGGCAGCACAGATATCAAGGTACTCCTTGACAATCAAGAGGCGGTCAGAGCCTTTCAAAATGGCAAAACAAATTCCTCGCAAGTAGAGGTCATGAATTTTTGGGAACTACGCAAGACTAGACCAGCGATAGAGGTCTACTGGGTTCAGGGACATAGCGGCATTTCAGGAAACGAAAAGGCCGATGCGATGGCAAAGGCATTCCTTGCGTCAAATAATCGAGATGGAAACATACCGGGACTAGAGTGCACATGGGAGGAAACTCACGAAGTTCTAACTTTTGCAGCTCTCAAGCGCCAAGTCAACATCCGGTTACAAAAACTTGCGGAAGAATGGTGGCTTAAGAACAGATCGAGTAGGTATGAAGATCTGGACCTACTGATGCGGAGAAAACGCCCACCGGAGCTAGCTCTTCCTCGATGAGCATATCATCGCCTCATCGCAGCCAGGACTGGGCGTGGTGACTTCGCCAGCTATCATAGATGGTTCCACCACCAGAATGAAGAAATACTTTGCAAATGTGGCAGAGAAAAGCGGCCATGGCATTTTGCAGAGTGTCGCCCGACTATCCACAAATGGAGGACGGAGACGAAGGAACCACGTCCTACGATCAGGGATATGATAGGGCAGGAAGGATGGCAGAAATTCTGGCGTTTTTTAACTGTAACAAAGTGTTACAGCAAGATTGAATCGTGAATAGGGGATGTAAAGGTCAACTGTAATGCTTCTTGGTACCGTTCGGTGTGGTACGAGAATTAAGGTGTAGCGCAGGGCGCTAGCACATTAGAATTGGTGTTTTATTTGTCTTAGTTTTGTGTGTTCAAGTTTCTACGAAACAATGATGTAGGTAGCGAAGAGTCGTATAGATCTGGACTACCCGTGCCATGCCCTCTGGGTGCTGGGGTAGTACCCGGTCACGATAAAAATATCATCATCCCGATATTGCAACCACGCCGAATCGTATCTACAAGTTGAATCATGAAAATATCCGACGCCCAGACAACGATAAAACAATCCCCGCGATACTCCACCCTATGAATCCACTCAATCGCTGCATTCTACATTGACCAGCGGACTCCCTGACCTTGATTTACTCCAGTATTCAAAGTTATACTTCAATACTTGGCTACTCTTTTACTGTGAGGTAACTGGAAGCCTGACCTATGACAGGCGAAGTGTATGTAATTAAAGTAAACGATAACTCAGTAAAAACAACTTAATCCCCATTTCTCCCGGTGTTCTAGGACTGTGTATACTGATCATGATTGACTTGATCTCTAAATATAGACATGCGCTAGGAATATATTTAACCTGCGGTTCTAAATACAGAATACAAGCACTGACCGAAGCAAACAGCCCACGTAGGTATGGACAGTCCCTATTTTTGACCCGAGACATTTCACTGTCCAACTTCTTCGGTAGTTATTCTTAGCCTTCGACGTTTACTCACCCTCAAATCGTTGGCCGGTGTGTGGGTTGAGCGACCGAGAGAGCGCTGATGGGCCTTGGAAGTGCCAAATATGATGATAGCTTGGTTACCGGGAGTCTCTGGTAAATTCTAGTGAAAGCTGTAAAAGCATCCCCAGGCCCTTCTTATTGTGAAATCATAATATCCGGTAATCGAGAGCATGATGTAATGGAGATTATCTGTGATGTTATTCTAAGCTTTGTGTGTGACAGCCAAGTTGGAAGTGCTAGCTATTGACTGGGAAGTGGTGGGCGCTTTGTGGAAATAGGTCGAACCTCAACAATTCTGGTTGGGAATGCGCGTAGTTAGCAAGAAAGCTATGATAGCAATTTACGCTAACTGATAAGTATTTATACATACCCTCATATAGAAGAAACTAGATCATCCAAATTTTGCAATAAATATGAAACCCGAACGGACCTTGGCTCCTATGTGCATCGCACGTTGGTGATGAGGTTTGTTCAACTTTCTTGGGCTTGTGAAATCTCTGTTGACTGATTTTCGACCAAAATACCGAGTATAAATTCTTCAAGCCGAAAATCCATCAGGTATAACTCGTGCAATCCCTATTCATGACTGAATCTCGGTACTGAGTGAATTTCCCAATCCCAGGCTCGTAGGGGACGCCACTGATAGATGTTCAGTCTCAGTTCTCCTTTAGTACCTGACTTATTTGGGCATTTTATAATTTCTCCTTGCTACTCACTGACGCAATCTGATCAACCACTATCGCCAATCTAGCAGCTCGATCTCCTAGCGCCTTGTGTTGACTGTAGAGAATGTGTCATCTTTTACGTATGACTAATTCTGTTCTTAGCCAATATTTCATGTCATCAGAAGATGCATTATTGGATCAAATCATCAAAATGAACGATGGTCGGTTTGATTGTGTTACTAATGCGTGTTAAACACTGAGGGTCAAATGAAAAATGTAAAAGCACATTGATGAAATCTCTGCTCCTCAACTCCTCGCCAGCCTTGGTGCTTTATACCCATCTAAAAATATTTCCGAAAGCGAATATCTTCTCTTAGTTTCCCAGAGTTACATCATGAGCTATATTACATGAGTTGTAGATCAAAAGATCTCAGGTTAGAGCTCTGAGTATCCTGATCAATATATCCTTGGTGAGATATCATAGCTCGAGAGTTAATCCGAGATGTGTCGTCCCAATATTCAATGGTTTTCATTACTAGATTCAGAAGGTTCCAAACTAATTGTTTGACAACACGGGAAGAAGTCCACGTATGATTTTTGGGTGAAAGCTAGGGGAAACCACAGGTTATAAACAAAGCTAGACTGAAGGAGTGAACAACTGGCAATATCCCTGAAACTAAGTTTAGTGAGCTGTGGAGTCAAGTGGTGTGATTCATGAATTAAACTGGGCTACGCTATTTTTTTAATGGGCTACGGTATCTGCATGACCAAAACAAGAGAAATAATTGTGATTCCCATCTTGCAAGCGCTCTTAGTTGATACTCAGTTTTGTAGAGTCAAGTAAAAGCTTGTACGATAACTGTTGTGCTACGAAGTGCTGTATAACATGTTTCGGACTGAAAAATCGGAAAGACACCATGAAGTTTGGTAAAATCCCTCTATTACTACCCTTAATGCGCTGGTCACAAGACACAGCCAAGAATCCGGCTCTATTAAACCTTAACCAACTCCCTGACTATAAAGCTAATGGTTGGACTATCATTTAGACAGTGGAACTCATCTATAACATCAAACACAAACCTAAACGCCACTTTGAAATTCTTACACCTAAAATTGATGATAAGCCCGAAAAACATGAGGTTCGTCGGCGTCGTATAACTCAGCGGGTTCTTCACGAGAGTATGTCATCAACTTTAAATTTCAGCAGCAAATAATTGCTCTCGCTAGACAGCACGTGATACACTTGCATTAAAGCAACTTATCGCCATCCGCTTATGCTCTTGTCACCAATAGCACTAACTCTTACCTTAGAAATATTGCCGAAAGTGGTGGCGTTGAGAGAAGGTACTCGTATCGGACCACCCGCTAAGCTAGCGCTGACGGTCCGAGGGTTTCCAGCATCGACAGTTAGACGCCGACCATACTTAGTTATAGATGCGACACGTGGACTCAGGACGTTTGAATGTAGAGCTGGTTCTCTTTGGCTGGAAACCATTCGTCTAGCGTGGCCCGCTGTAAAAAGTGTGTTTTCATTTGGAGGAGATGAAGCCGTTGATGAAACTGCAGTGGGACTTCTACGACGAGCGGTGCGATTTAAATCATAGCTTCTTCCAGCTCGGGATAGGGAGCCTGTGCGCTTAAGCTTCTTTCCAACTTTCAAGGCATCAGATTGGTCTATCAGACGACTACTGTTTTCGGCTTCTGATCCTGAGCTTTGTTCACATTCGTTGGGCGAGCCATCTGAAAATGATTTCTGAACATTTCCTTGTAAAGGTCGGTTACCGATATTGCATGCGTCTATGTCTTGCAGGGGAGAAATCTCGTTCGAGTACTGGGGAATGGAAGTTGGTGAGTGTCCGCCTGACTTTCTTGACAAGAAGCCAGCCTGAAAACGGTTTCTTGATTTTATTTCAATAGATGGTATGGGAGCTGCAGGTATTGGAGAAGAGCTCAGGGGGTCGTTGTCGATAACTTGAGCGTTGGCAGTTGGGGACGTTGGTAGAGCTGGAAGCGAGTAAGACTCTTCGATGTTTGGATCCTCGGGAGTCATTGGCAGTTTTTGTGGGGTCTTTTCAAACTCCGTCAGGGTTCCAGTTTCAGTATCGTCTCGCCATCGCACACAACGTTTTGATGGTGATTTTTTCTTTGGGGTGAAAGATACACTCTTTTTACATAAGCCGACCTTCTTTCGTCTCGGAGAAAATTTGACAGGTGAAGAATATACATGGGGCGCAGCAGCAGCCAACGCTTGCATAATGGGAGCTGGCGCATTTTTATAATCAGAAATTCTGGTATGTTTTTTTCGTTTAGGGGTTCCTCGTTTTGAAGGAGGTAGAGCGTCAGTTATCTTAAATGATCCGTCAGGCTTGATAATATTGGACAATGTGGTACTGGAACTTTGGAGAAGACGCCCGAGAATAGATCTTGCGTGAGAGATCGCTTCATCTTCACTCATGCCGAGGATATCATGAAGAGAGGCAATAGTTTCGACTTGTGCTGTTAGAAGTGCTCGCGTTTCATATCTATCAGAATCTTTCTCCAAACTGAGCAGTTCGTTGGCAACTTCAAGTTCGGCATTGTACTTAAGAAGTTCTGTTTCTCGTGCTAGCATAGAGTTGTCAGGCCCATTAGCGCATTCTCCAGCTTCTGAAAGCATGCGAATGCTGTTTTGGTAGGCTGAGTCGACAGCTCGTTCCCAATTAGTTTTAGTAAGAAGTTGTTGATAATGTTGCCTACTACTCTCCAAATCCACGATAATGCTAGCCGCTGTTTTTCGCATAGAAACTAAATTAGGCGCCATACCCTCGTCTTCTCGAGAGGCGCAGACATCTTCAAAAGCACCAACCCAGGCTGACAGCAAACATATCCTTCTTTCAATTTGACGAAGTCTTTTACTATTTTGTAGCTTCTCGTGCCTCTCTGAGGCTGAGTGTTCATAGGCTGCACGGATACGTGCTACGCCTTCCCTTGCAATACTATCCCGCTTTTCGGTTTGTTTCTTGAATTTGGAGAATGCAATCGTTTCGGATTCTTTTTGCTGTGCTTTGAGCTCATTTATCATAGCCATTTGCTCATCAATCTTCACAAGGAAGTCTTTTACGTGTCTGTTGACGTTGTAGACGTTTCTGGTGACTTTTGTCTGAATGTTTTTGGCCCGATTGGCGTAGCGCAAGGTGTTCTGCGTCTCGTCAAAATGAGCACTAGATGGACTGACACAAACAATCATCACAGTTTTACAGTTGCCACCTAGTGAAAACTTTAAAAGTCGAGTAAGCTTTGAATTTCTGTAGGGGACGTGGTTCCTTTTTCGTGGGTCACAAAGCGCGTTAATACAGCTTCCGAGAGCTAACAGCGATTTGTTAATGTTTGCTCCTTCGAGTAGGCGCTCTCCTCTGTTTTTGGTGGCGCTTGCACGTTCGCTACCTGCGAGATCGATTATACTAAGAGTGGCCATGGTGTGTGGCTCATTGACATCGGCATTTCGATCTTTCTGGGCTACATTTATTTGCAACACAGCATGAGAGCGCGAAGATGTAGCGTTTGCAGCTGTCGGTGATACAGTTCGGTATTCATTTCCGGAGACAATCATGTCCATAACCTGCTGTACATCTTGGGGGTGGTGACTCGAAAGTCCAGCTACTGAAACGGCCTGATTCGCATCTTCACGGAGCATCAATCCCTGCTTGCTGCCTCCTGGAACAAGTAAATCACGGATAGTTTCGTTGTAAATTTCGAGATAAGATAAAGATACCTCAGTGTGCTTTTCATCACTTCTCTCAGCAATCTTTTCGAAAAGTTCCTGCATAGTTAGGAATATAATTCCTGGCTGCTGAGCTGTTCCTGTTATTGTGTGGGTTTTGCCACACCCTGTTGCACCATATGCAAATACTGTCGCGTTGTATCCATCAAGTACACTATCCAGTAGACTTCTAGCTGTCGACTCGTAAACCTCAGCCTGTGTAGTATTTTCGTCGAACACTCTGTCAAAGCCAAATGTTTGATCCTTTACTCTTTTCCCCATGGATGAAACTACTGATCGAGAGAATCGTGTTACTGGGTTGTCTTCCGGTGGATCGAATATTCTTTGATAGTCAGTTTAGATACAAAATAATCCAGGATTATACAAACAGGCATTTGTCGTCAATAACTTTGACGACAGGTCGGATACCTTTCTGCCCAAGCTTAGGTGTTGGTGCTCCAGCGAGAGAGCCATCGCCGAGAAAGAGAGTTCCGTCGTCTCTCTTAGTTCTTGTCTATATCAGTCATTGTGAAGCGTGTTTTAACGTGAGTACTCACATCTGGGCAGCTTCATTGATTGTGAAAGGTCGAACTCGGACTAAAAACGGTGAGAAAAGGAATTGTGGAAGATTTTTTACATACCAGTCACAGAAATTGAAGACGCCCCAGGGTCTGGAAAAACCATGGTGATTTTATCTTTGAGTTCAACTTGGTTGATAGAAGATAGTGCGTGAACATTAATGAGAGTCAACTAATTAGATTACAACCTTGAAATTTCTAGATATTAGAGGTGAGCTAATATGGCTTCCTGAAGTTGCGGATTTGGCGTCGCGTGGTTGAGGAATTAGTTACGGGCTATTGATTGTAGTTAGATAGAATTGTCTGTTGATTCCGTAGGTACAACGGCCAAGTGTGGTTGCCACGGGGCAACGAGTGATATAATGCTACTAGCATCAAGGGGCCCAAACGTTTAGTACGTCGAATTTATTCTATTATCAGATATTCCAACTCTCCAACAGCAACCCCGGATCTGATCTGCAGGACAACAGAGCAATAAATATGAACACGGCGATATTAGTTCGAAGTCCCTCACACTGGATCTTATTAGCTTATATCTCTAGCTAGACATATAAGGCCTAGCACCCCAGCCTTAGTCCAGAATACTTGGCGAAGGAAAATTCGAGAAAAAGTTCGTCGATCGTGATATGTTACGTCAAACGTGTTTGTTTATCAATGGATGAAAGGACATGGTGAAAACAAACTGGAGTTAAATCTCACGTATATGGGGTAGACGTTCAAGCTATTTCAACGTTGATCAGAAGACAGGCGCCCGCGACATACTGCAAAGTCACTCGATCTGCTCTCCTTGGCATCTTGATGTCACATATCATGATTGCTCTAGTCGTTGTGACTACCAGTCTTGGTTATTAATAGCTACAAGCACAAGTCAAATCAAGGGCGGTGGTTTAAATTTTAAGTGTATATGTTGCTCTAAAGCTATAACTCTTAAACCTAATCATATTTCCAAATGAAATTTGACCTACAACGGGCACCATATATAAATAGGGGTAAATATTGTGCGTCTATGTATTTATTGTCCTATAGAGTATGTGACTTTGTAAGTTCATGTAGGTTTTTTCTGCCTACAGACCGGGAGTATCCATGCCTCGGGTCGTATATTCCCTCCGATGCCTCCTCCACGACTTCTTTCCAGCAGTAAAATCCACACCAAGTCTTCAATCGAGCACACACTAAAATGGGCCGTTAACCTGTTAATATCCTACCTCTACGGCCGACTGAATGACAGCCAATCGCGGCCTTGAAGTCGCAGGGATAAATCATAAAATCCTCAAACTGCGCGGCTCTCTCAATAGCGACAAGAGGACTAAGTCCGCAGACATAACTACCCCTTTGAAGCGTTCTGAGAGCCTAGCTAGCTGGATATTACAGAATTATGAAACTAGGAAGGTCACTTCTTACATTTCGAAACACCTTCCAACCCTTTCCCAAAAGTTGTGATCAAATTTCAGAACAGTCTTGACTGAACGTGGTTGTTGTAAAGTGGCTTGGCCCAACTTCAACATGCTATCTAGGCTACTGGGGAGTACTACAGAATCATCGACGATTAAAGTCCTCCTGACCAGTTACCCAAAACTATTGTCTTGACGCTCACAAAAATCCCAAAGCCGAAAACCTCTCAAAAGAAGTCATTCACAACATACTTGTCGCTGACCATCTCTCTCTCCCATTTTATGTTCCAGCTGCCGTTTTCCCCTCAAGTTTGAGGGTACCATTATAGCAAAAGCCTACGATTCTCTAAGACGCGATTAATGTATATTATGACAAAGATTTCTGCCTTAAATTAACGTAGCGTCGAAATTCTGTAAGTGAAGATGGCTGGTCATTTTTGAGGCAAGAACCTCGCTCCACATAGAGCAGTCCCTCCATCCATGTTAAGGCGAAATTGTATGTGGTAAAATCGTGTGGGAGGAGCTGCGTGTGGATGGTGGGGCCGGAATTGATAAATCGGCGATTCTGTATATGCTTAATATTGCTTTCGACTTCCATCCGGTTGCATTACTTCTTGGCTATCCCAGCTATGCAGAGCATATTGAGTGGTTACATTGGTAACGTTTGAAGGTGGTGCATTCTCCCTCACCGATTGTCTGCCGATATTTCATGATCTTTGCATCAGATTTTAATCGCTTATGCAAAAAGCTAACTATTACACTATATCAGAGAAGAATTATATAATTGATGACTAAATTTAAGTGAAGGGTGCTAATGCCTTGGATTTCATTTGCAAATACCATTGCGAAGTTATGGTGGCTTTTTCTTAACTCCAAATTGAGGACTTTTCTCAACACCTGCCAGTGGTGTCCCCTAGGAACCTCCAGTTCCCACTGTAGAGTCTACAGAGCCGAAATTGAGTAAAACCGTCCTCAATTCGATGAGGATTCCCAATCGCTTTCACGGTCTGTATCGTCTTCATCTCTCAAAATATTTTCCTATCACCAGTATCATGAAGCTAACCATGATCAGATCAGATGGTAGGTTCAAAGCCCTACTTGTCACTAGCCCTTGGTCATGAAGCAAAATCCATCCGATGAGTTTCCGGAGCGTACCCAGCACCCGATACGGAGATGGTGGATTGGATCAAGTCGGCCTCAACTATTACAAAGAAAGGAGATATAGATGAATATGCGCACCTCATGTGGTCCCGGTGCCTAGGCCTCGCCTGGCTGGGCCTGCAGATTTTTTGAGACCTTTTCTCGCGTACGTAGTTTCCATTGCTACCATTTTTATTTTTATTTATTTTGGGTTGAAGATTCTTTGGAAAAGGTGACCGAATTCCGCGGGTAAATACTGGGCTAAATCGCTATTCATCGCGGGCATTATATCAATGATCTTTCAAGCAACAAAAGAGGCAAGGAGCGCTGTACAAGGTGTGGCCAGGGTCAGAGAAGAGCCTAAGTTTTTTTTAAATCATATATTGTGTACACAGCTATCTAGCTATGACACATGAGCAGTGCTATTTTTACATTTTGGAGAGCTCTTGACGTTAGATACACTCATGCTCTGAACTTCATTCGCAAATACCACTATGAGGTATGTTTGCATACACAAACAATCGATCTACCACCGTAAATATCCACCAAAGAGAAATTGGAACAATTTGATTATCCAAGGATACCTTAGTCATCCATGCATACCAGCGCCGCGAGAAATGTGATTGTGTTTTGCCGGATTTGAACCAGCGATCTACTGTCTCGAGTGAGATATGCGTCCAAACTATCCAGACTTAACTTGGCAGACCGGCCAAGACGATGTACCACCGCACCATCCAACCATGGCTGTGTTTATAGTGTCAGCTGCACTATCGAAACCAAAGTCTTGGCGCGCAAAAAGCTCAAATTGTGAATCTCCTTGGCAAAATTCGAAATTTGACGCCCATCGAGACTGTATCCATCCTCTGCATCATCTTATCAACTTGTCCTGATTCCTCCCACGTCCATCTCAAAGGACTGTCTTCCAGATTTGAGCGCTACGCTTTGTTTCCTCCGTCGGGTGTAGATATCGGCATGGGCGTGTATTTGGTGACCGGCTGAGTCCAGAGAAAGTCGACGAGAGGTGTGATCATTGGAATGAGGATGTACTAGGTCATACTTGTAGACTTGATGAGGCTTGGATAGAATTCGATCTTTTTAGGTGTGAAAAATTGACGTGGTGGAGTAATTTGAATCATTGTCTCGTGGGCCAACTTGTTCGGTATTGCGAAATTTGACTGAACTTGGCTCTGGGAGAATATTTCACTCCCAGACTCGTAGAGGACACCGCGTACAGGTGTCAAGCCTTGCGCTCCTCGTTGAGCATGTTACGTTGGTTACAGACAATTACTAATTGGTTTAAGCAAAATGCTTTATTACACGTACGGTTGTGCTTGCGAATAGAGTTTATTAAAGCCCCACTTTATGAATCATATAGTCCAAATAATACATGTCTTTAATTTAGAGTAATACTTTAAATTACATAAATTTTTTAATAACCGATCATAGTCGGTTCATCATCACGAATGGAAATCTTCGAAGATAATGCTAGTCGGAATCAAAGGTATCAGTAAATTTCGTCTGAGTAGCTTGGGGTCGGATAGAATAGCTTAGTACCCTACCGTTTGCAAATTATTTCGTGGTTCTAATGCTATAAAGACTAGATTCCATGTATAATAAGACTCATTACTCCTGTCAGCTATAGCGTCAGGATAGCCTTCTATGTAATCTTTATACGAGTAGATATAGGGATCCGTAATGTTAAGTTATTCTTGTCCGAAAATTTATCCCAATGTTTGTATATCTATTTCATGCATGATGTACGATAGTAGCCTCCCATCTTCACATCATATCTAGATGCTAATTTTTGTCTCGCTCTCTACATGCCAACCCTGACATGTAGAAATTGAAATGAAATCGGGGGAAAATATGTGGAATTTCAATTGAAAAGTTATTCAACAGAAAATTATCTGCTGAAATATTCTCTTGCACTAAATGCCTCATGATGCATCCGTCTTCAAAGTTCAAGAATTGAAAATTTACGGAGTGTTTGTACAAGCACAGAGCTAAAAGTCTTGATAGGCTTACCTCATGGATTGAAGACTGGCAATGTGGAGCGACTAATTTCTTAAGGATGTGACAATCTCAAAATTTTGTCTCTACTAGAGTTACTCTCTGAGGGATAAGTTTTGGTGGACCTGGATTTTCAGTTTATTAAAGTTAGGCTCTGTTTGCGTAAACTTTGTTTGTTGTCGGAAATGGACTTGAGTGATAAATTTTGCTTCGTTTTCGATAATATTAAGAAGAGGATGCTTTCCCAAGGTTAACAACGTTCTTTAAGCTACCGAAGCTTAAAACTTCGTTTATTCTTTCCGATCCTGTAAGCAGCATAACAAGCCTCTCTATTCCGCAACCCCATCCCCCCGTCGGGGGAAGGCCCCATTCTAATGCTGAAAGATAGCTCTCGTCAACGTATCCGTCATTTTCAATGTCTCTGAACTTTCCCTGCTTTTCAAAATTGGATCGTTGTTTAATTGGGGAGTTCTCTTCCTCATACATATTTGCAAGTTCCTTGTTATTGGCAAATAGTTCCGCTCTGGCTGAAACAATTTGATTGGACACAGGATCTAGAAATGATTTCGCTAGTGGAGCCATGCATGCTGGATGATGTGTGATGAATGTTGGCTTAATACACATGGGTTCCAGAAAATGTGCAGAAAGCTTGTCCAAAAGACGTGGCAAGGTTGGTGATTTTATGAGAGGGATTTTATGTCTCTTAAATAAGTTGATGATATTTTCTTCGGCATCTTCTGTCGCTAAATCGGGCAGACTCTCGCCAAGCGCAAACTCGATAGCTGGAATAAAACTAATACGCTTGAAAGGCGGCCGAAAATTGTCTATATAGACCTTTGGTAATGTCCTTAGGCGCTCTTCTCGGATGTAGTGGGCGGCCTTTGCTAGTCCCAAAAGTAACTCTTCAGTCCTGCTCATCAGCTCCTCTAAATCCGTGAATGCTTTGTAGAATTCGCAAGTTGTGAATTCAGGGTTATGATTAGCATCAAATCCTTCGTTACGGAAGGCAGATCCTATCTCGAAAACCCTGTCAAATCCTCCTATTATAAGTCTTTTTAGCCATAGCTCAGGAGCTACGCGTAAAGCTAGTTTTTTGTCAGATATAACAGCCGATGATGTGATGAACGGTCTTGCAAATGCACCACTTGCTTTGTCTGCTATCAACGGAGTCTGAACCTCAACAAAGTTATCATTTAATAAAAGATTTCGCAAAGTTTGTATCAACTGAAATCGCATACGTAGAGTCTGCTGAAGTTTTTGATTGAGAATTAAATCTACATGTCGATTTTGCATTCGAGTCCCTTGATTGAGCAGTGATCTTGGCAGACAAGCTAAAGACGGCGAAATAATCTCGGGAAGCGTATCAGCCATGACTGTAATCTGCCCGGCTTCGGTACGGTGCGCGTGACCCACAACAGCTATCAATAGTCAGATCATATAAATGTGTGAATAAACAATAGGCATACAAATATAGTCACCTCTTTGAAGTAGGTGGTACAGACGTTGAAAATCTCTTTCCGAGACTTCAGATGTTTTGGAGAGTGCTGAAAGATTTGCTTTTACTTGTACCGTCTCGCCCTCCTGCATTAAATCTATGAATATGAGTCGAGTTCCCATGACTCTACACGCTAAAAGCTTGCCTGTACATTGTTAAACAACTAGGTGGAGATTGTTGAAAAATCCTACCTCTGATACAGAAGCTGCCGTCTTCTTTCGCGTATTCTTTGGGTGCTAAGTGCTTCCATCTTTCGCAAAATTCTCTGATAGTGAGTGTACTTTGATGTGATTCTAGCCTAGGCCATTGAAGGGCACTCCCTGCCTTAAGCTCGTCTATTCGCTTGATAAAAGTTGGCGAGGAATTCGAGAAGATGTCGCTGGTCTCTTCAAGGTTGTCATCGAGGACAGCATTGTCTCTCTGTTTAGCTTGTGTTATGACAGTCTTGGTGATTGTGTAAGAGCTCTTTGGTATCTTTTTCAACTTTTGTAGAGGGCGCAATAATGTTTTAGAATTCATCGTATGGTTATCAAGTTTAATAACAGAACTCTAATATTTATACTGTCCATGAAGCATCTGGACTTTTTTGGAGCGTAGAAGAACAAAGAAAGGACGTAAAGTTAGCAATATATCAAAAATAACTTGTAAACGTTTTGGACTATGAACCCAAGATAACTAGCTCAGGAAGCTGGAATTCTCCCGCTTATGATTGTTCCTTGCTGCTGAGCGGCATAAAATAGCGTTTGCAGGGGCCTAACAGTTGCTCACACTGGTGCACTAGTGTCTTCGCTGTAGACTTGTAACAAATCATCTCACAAATTCTACAATTGAAAGACATCAATTGACCCCTAACGAGTAAACGCACCCCAAGGCAACTCCGAATAAGATCATCTTTGTTAAGACAGTGATTTGAAATAAGTTATCAACATGTCATTCTTCGGTTTGGGACGTCCACAGCCTTCATCGGCGGAGAAAATCGCTGCTGCAGAACAGGAAATGGACATGGTAACAGATATGTTCAACAAGTTATGGATTCCACCTTTTAAATATATACTCTCATTCCTAACAATTTTTATAGACTTCAAAAGGCCTGCATGAAAAAATGTATACCCGGCGATTACCGCGAAGGTGAACTCAACAAGGGAGAGGGCGTCTGCATCGACCGTTGCGCAGCAAAATTTTTTGATGTTCAATTAAAAGTGTCAGAGCTGTTGCAGAGCGAAGCGGCAGCTAAAGGCGCTACTGGGACTGGAATGGGATTTGGAGTTTAAAAGAACAATTTGGGCTACGGTTTATTATTATTTTATTTCTTTGGAAGTGGAAGGTTTCCACCAGTCTTTAACCCATTTTCTACCATAAAAGTATCTTACTTGATATCACAATACGGATCTAAACTTGGAACATCGCATTCAATATACACATGGTTGCAACTAGAGATGCTTTGTCCCGGCTTAGTTCTCAAACAAAAATTAACATTATGTGAGGCTTGACATGGCTACGTCAGGTACTGTCAATGCGCGTTTGATATTTCTAAAGATCCAACTTGTCCAACTTTCTGACCGAAGTTGCAACCCCGTCTCTTCGGCTTTGATCTCTAAATCAAAAACTTTTCTCTCAAACTGAATAACACCGTCTTCAACATCATCCACTTTTGAGACTAGAGCATTAATTTCGTAATCTAGTTTTGCTCCTAAAATTTCAACTTCTTTGATAGCATCAGCTACTTTTTTGCGTTCGTAGCCAAGGATTTCTTCAGATTTCTGTGAAATTGTCTGAAATTGATCCATCAAACGGTTGTAGGTGGTCTGAAGTACGTCTTGATCTGAAAAAAGTTGTTGGTCAATATTTATGTATGTTTCGAGTTTCGATTCAACCCAAGGTTTTACATCATTTTGGATACTTAAAAGGTGGTTTAACCCTTCAGACACTCTTTCTATATTTCCTAAGGAGATTTTATTACCATTCTCACTCTTCGTATGAGCTAAAATAGGTTTCCATTCAAATAAAGCGTCCTCTGCCTCACTGAATGACATATGGCGCGGCCAACGGTTTTCGTTCTGATTCTTCAACAGCGTATCAACCCCGCCAGTTACACTATGGCGTCGACGAAGAAAGAACTCGAATGTTGCCGAGGAATGTTCTTCATCAGGCTCACTCTCGTAACATATCCCAGCAACGAAATTTTCATTATTTGAGTCAGTTTGCCTAACCTCCTTGGATTCTACAGCCCACTTTTTCTCTGGATCTATAGATCTTGGAAGATCATGCAGAATGGGAGGAACGATATTTAGTGGTGGTTTAGGGGATCCTGGATTTAAATTTTCGCCCTGTAGAACGACGCTAGGAGGCTCTCTACGCTTGGATACGCCAGTTTGATAATGCGATGGTGTGTCTTTCAAGTTAAAAGCTTTGGCTGCCAAACTAGGACTAAGAGATGGGTTACTTGTTGGTGATAGATTATATGTCGACCCTACTGGAATGCCTTCATCTTTTGATAGCCGATTAGCGTATCCTCGTCGTCCAACCGCATCCTTGATTCGCACTAGTCCTGTCTTTGCGTCACTCATCTTTTCAGTTACGCTTTTCAAAACCGCCTTGTGCAAATGATCCCGATCACTTGGACTCTCTGGTATACTGGTGTTAGATCCAGGAGGGTGCCGGGAATAAACCGCACCAGGCACTTTATCCTCTGCTAATCGTTCGGATTCATCCTCTGTTAAGCCAATATCTGACTTACCGTGCGACAGCATCGAAATTGCTTGATCATCTCTGGTGAAAGAGAAGCCTTGCGATTCGTCGAACTTTCCCAGATTGTCCGCTGCTCCAGTTCTCCTCGATTTTCCATGCCAAAGCCACTTCGTTCTCTCGCTGGATGCTAGACCGATAAAATTGTCGATATCAAGGGTTTCAATATCGCCAATTCCAGCCTTGTCGCGTCCCACTATGCCCATAACCATTTCACCTCCCTTGCCGCTCAGTTCAACGACTGTTGATTTTACAGCTTTAGGGACTACCCATCCTTCACCTGCAGCAGCTTTGGCAGTGACCTTGTGTAGCCGGTCGAGGGTATGCCGATCAAGCCTTCTGGTCCGCTTTAGTTTATGCGATTTCTGAAAACCCTCAATACCTCGTTTCAAATTATACACATCAAAAGCATCTTTACCAACGGGTGCTCCGCAATAACTAAGTCGATTACGGGCACCCATAAGCATGCCAAGTAAGCCAGCTATGGTCGTTGGCCCGAGAACGCCATCTGTAGGTTCGACATTGTAGTGATCTGTTCCAATCTCAGTCCACCACTGGGCAATAGCAGTCTCGGTCATATCACATAGGCAGCCGTCGGCATACTCCTGATCAAGCTTGCCAAAAAGTATCAATGCAATCTGGCATAGTTTAATTAGTTCAATAACAGCATGAGATAATGGTAACCGCTGACTCGTCTTATAAATCTGTAGGAACTTGGCCTGGGTAGCACCTGCCGGGGGGGCCAGGGTGATTCCAGATCTACCAGAGCATCCAAGTCGCTTTAGATTCTCGTTGACTACGAATCCTACTCTATGCTTTCGTACGTTACCATCGGGGACGTGAATTACATTCAATGTCGACGGAAAGCTATTCAAATTTGTGACCATTAGAGTCCCGAGAGGAGTTTCTTGTGGTCGAGCGGAATATTGTGAGGATGCACTGAAGTATAATCGTAATCTAGGAGACCATTCTCTTTCATCTTCTGGTATTGCCAAGACTCCAACAACTCCTTTATGATTTGAATCCCCAGTATAAGTAGCGATAACAAAGGTGGGATGTGTTCGCGAACAAGCCCATTGTTCAACTAGATAAAGTTCGTATCCCTGGATAATCCCGTTCCTTTCGATGACTGTTGTTGTGGAATCTTCCTCTATATATCTATTCAGCATTAGACAACTGAATTTATTAGTCTATTGTATTTCTTACCTAAAGGCTACAGGGTCAATGAAAACAAAATTTTTCCTTCTGAAGGTTTGGGGGGCAGCAACGGAAGACATATCAGTGGAGGACGGAACTTTCGCATGAGATTTTTTAAGGGTCTCCGGCTGCAGTGTTATTTCTGCTACAGAAGATGTCCTGAGCTTGTGCTTCTGAAAATCGTATCCATTGATATTTGATACTGCCATCCGGTCAGACATGTTCATGTAAATAATTCTGATGTCAATAATTATTAGTATATATCTTTAATAGTTAAGAATATCGTTCACCGACATTCACGCAGAACGCCAACATCTCCCAGGCGTGGTCCATGGGAATATAAATTGTGTCGTGTCTATATATTTTGGGCAGAAATCAACATTGACCGAAACATTTTGAAATTCGATAATACGTCAGTGTTAGGTGAAAGCTTTGCCTCACTAAACCATTACGCACCGAACGTTTTAAGTGGTCAAGTCAAGGGGACAGCTGTAGCACGTTATTGATCGTCAACTTGGGATACCTCAGGCATGAAGCCCCGCTTACTCGCAACCGAGTTGGTCAGCTAGAAACAGTTAGCACGTCTATTAGTTTGAATTATCTTTGGGAAATAGATGAATCAATAACCCCAACATGCAGGCGGCGCTCTCCCAAATCTGCAAGTGCGATTCCACAACGAGCTACCATGTACTTAATATATATTCAATTTTAAAACCTGGCGAACGTCGAGCTATACTCACTGTCCATTCTCTTCATCTAAGTGTATAGGATCTCACCCAAACATGGAGTCGATCGAGACAGAGCTTACCAAGCTGCGAAAAGATTCGAACTTAAGGAAAAGTATTGAAGATGTCGATATCATAATTCAGCAACTTGAAAAAGCTCGATCTACCATTTTAAACGGTCAGTATAAGGGACTAAACGAATTTTGTGTGCTTGGATGGATCGAGGACTAATATGAACCTGGCAGACCCTAACTCTGCAGCTATAACTCTTGCCACTCTTCAGAATCCTTTAAAGCACGGATTTGATAAAGTGAACGAAGACTTGAATCGGGTACATAAAGCGAATACTAAATATGGGAAAGCTCTCGACAAAGTAAGTCGTAGTAACGGTAAAGTCGACATTTATCTGATAATTATAGAACTTTCCCGTCAGAGCTCTTCCGGAAGGTCTTGATGCTCTTGGCTCTCAAAGTAACCTAATAAATCGAGCTATAGCGATGCACTTTATTCGGGAAGGACAGTTCTCAACGGCGCAGATATTCTTATCCGAATCTAAAACTTCACCCCGGATACCATCAGACAAAATCAATAATAGTTCCGAAGAGCTTAAGGCAGAAGATATCCAGCGAGAATTTTTGAAAATGTACTCCATACTCGAAGAACTCAAACGGCATAACATCCATCCGGCTATATCTTGGGCAAGGAAGAACAGCACCCAGCTTGAACAACTTGGCTCTAACATCGAGTTCGAGTTAAGCAAACTTCAATATCTGTGGCTATTTTATGGTCCAAATGTCAATGGGTTGCCAGATGATCAAAACAATGGTTTGATGGGGGCTTTTAAATATGCTAGAGAGAATTTTCCCGCACATATGGCTAGGTTTCCAAGGGAAATAGAGCAGCTAATCACTGCCTTACTATACAAAACTAACATAGGAGAGTCTCCATATAGTCATCTCCTTAACATAGAATTCGCTTGGGATATGATATTTTCATCATTTACAAAGGACTTCTGCTCCCTACTCGGCCTTTCTCCTTCGTCTCCTCTATATGTTGCATGTACGGCTGGAGCGATTGCTCTCCCCACGCTTTTAAAGCTTGCTGAAATTGTACGTGAGAAAAAGACAGAGTGGACAACTCAAAGCGAACTGCCTGTCGAAATACCGCTACCAAAAAGCATGTTTTTTCATGCCATATTTGTCTGTCCAGTGAGCAAGGAACAGACTACTGAAAAGAATCCACCAATGGTTATGCCTTGTGGACATGTGCTCGCCAAAGAATCTCTCCAGAGAATCAGCAAAAATGGTCGGTTCAAGTGTCCATACTGCCCGAGTGAGAGCCAGATGCAGGACGCTAAGGAGATAACACTTTGAAATAATTATTTATTATACATATTTTACCTCATTCCTATAGGTCTGGAGTCTCTGGTGTTTTGGTGTAAAGGTTGGGTGAATTTACTTAGCGAGGCGTTGGTTTTATGATGTGGGCGGTTTGCACATTCAGTTGGCTACTTAATGTACATTAAATTAGAATGCTGCTACTACATAGTACGTCTACAGCTACATACACATCAATTAATCTGCACAATTTGTGTCACAAAAATTATGACAAATTAAAAATTCCTGAAGCAATCATTTTGGCTAGGATGTCAGACTCTCCTCATCAGATATCCCTGAAGCTTACATCCATTCATTTTATACAAACTAGACTTTTGTAAATCTTCGGGCCGGGATGGATTAGGGTGAGGGTGGTTCCTTCAAGTATCGATATCTTTAACTCTCGTAAATGCCTCAGCAAGATATTAACTGGGCATTTGCGTGTTTCCATTAGATGATGTAAGACATTGAACAGGATCTTTCTTAAGCGACTCATTATCAACGGGTGTTGCAGCCTGTAGTTGTTTGCTTTGTTCGCGAGCTGTAGGTGAGGTTAGATTTTCGTCATTCTTCTGCCGCTTGATAGTTCCAGGAGCGAGGGGGGCCGGAGCCGGACGTTTCGATGGGGGCGTAAGTGGATCCTCGCCATGATCATCTGTAGAGGGTCGTTCGGTTAATTCATCAATAGTGAATATATCACGATTTACAGTAGACTTTACTTCAGCAACCGACTTAGTAGTAGTATTTTGTGGTGTGGTAGCGGTTCTTGCATCCCATTGGGGTCCCGTATCTTCTATGCCGATATCGAGTAAACTTCTGGTCAGTAGTTTCCGACCATCATGACCAAATCGCTCATCGTGTTCTTGTAACTGGAAAGCTGGTATAACTCCTGCTTCTTGCTCTTGCCTCAATAGCTCTCCTTGGCTAATACCACCTTCAGCTCTCAACGACGTAAAGCCATCATCCATGCGTGAACACGAATTTAAACCTGCTGAGGAGACCCCATTGATTGATACTGATACTGTCTCTACCCCGCCTGGTCCATTTGGGCCCTCAATTATTTCTGTGCTCCGTTTAGTTATGACCTCGTTATCAAGAGGTGAGCGTGAGCAATTATTTTTTAGCCAAGGGATAGGTATTAACAAAGCTCCTCCCATTGATTCATCTAAATCAAGGTCAGGAGTGCTAGGCCGTATTGTTGAGATAGAGCTACTCCAAGAGGCTGGAATTTGATCCTTTGAGTGTACCGTGCTCCCGCTTGACAGGAGCTTAGATGAGTTTGTATTAAGAGCTGGGGATTGCAAAGGAAAAGCTGTTGCTGGCGATGTGACGTGAACAACCCGGTCAAGCGCATGGAGATATGAGGGAAGAGTACGATAGTGGCTACGAGGGAAAAGGATCAGCTCAGCGAGCCGCTGAATCGTGTGGGGTGGAGCTTTCGAAAAGAAGGTGAGGAGAGTATCAGAAATAGATGCGAGGATTGTACGTATTGCGGGTTGGAGACAAATTGTGCTATTGCTATGACGAGTTGCAGCATCATCATTGCGCGCTGAAAATTCGGTAGAAGTATTGCTCGCGTCGGAAGAAGATATCGAAGACTCTGATGCGCTCTCCGGAAATGCTGAAAAACTTTGGTGAACATTCTTTTTATAGTCAAAATAATTCTTCCGAAACAAGACTCAGGGGACTTGCCTTTTCCAAACGCGATATTATTCGCAAGAGCAAACTAGGCCATTTCTCGCTGCCAAATTAGCTTAATTATATGGCGCAGATATCATAAGAGCTCACTGATCTATCGCGTTACCTTCGGCAAGTGCTTGTAAAAGTTTGTTATCGCTTTCTAATTCCATCATGTCAGTTCCACAGTCAGGCTGATGCGATATGACTTCAGCCAGTTGGGGAGGTTCTGAATTCATATCTAGTTCCTAATGAGCGAGGTACTAGAAGTTAATCGCTAATGGCCAGCCAGGATGTCAAAGATCAAGCTTCAAAATTTAATCTTGGCGTGTTGGGACTAAGTTGGCATCAAATTGATGCAAGTTGAGGCTGGATGACTGAATCTGGCTGCTTGTAAGACAAATGTCTCGCATGTTTAAATATTTTGACCATTCATCATGATATAGTATTCGTTTAGACCGTAAGAGAGATGTGTCGGATTTTTGAGAGTCGAGAATCGGATTAAAGACTGTCCATGAACAAAAGTTCTGGTTGCATATACCGCTGACAGACTTAGGTCCGCTACTAATGCGCCCCACTTTGCCAGCCTTACAATCACCAACTAACTCCAAAATTTTAACTGTGAACTTATCTCACATGCAGATTCATCACTGAGAAATAACTGCGCATCTATCTTATCCCTCAGCATCGCAGCTTCCACTCTCCCAACACTACCCTGTTCGGACCCTGGCGCATTTGAAACATTATTTCATTACCTAATTGATTCGAGGCTAACATGCTGGTAAAAATAAATTCTTCAATTCCATCGGCGCCAGCGTAATCGCTCAATATGCCCTGCATATCCGGGATAATTAAGAAGAATCGCATCCGAACTGAAGTCGAAAGCAACCTCAAGCACGTCTAAACTCGACGACTTCTTGTTCATGTCGGACCTATCGTTCTCATGCAAAATCCTCTACTTCGATCTTACTATAATATCTCACCTCAACAACCATTAAAGGCATTGCTCCAATTGTGATGTGGAGTTTGCTTCATTAAAATTCGGCCATTTCTCTCTACAATGCTACGATGCTATGAGTACCCGCAAGGAGGGAACTAAGTCATAAAAAACAAAGCTCGGGTCGTAAACGTAGGAGCTTACGGATGGTTTATTGGTAGAAGATTGAAGGATAATTTTTATATTATAACAAAGTGAACCACTCGTATTCTTGACATTTAGAGTCATGAGAATGTGGGAGGTAGTAATCGCTCCTTTTATACACATCTGAGGTAGCTAGACTCTCGCCTTATTTTCCCAAACCAATATCATAGAATAATGTAGTATCCTCCATCAGGTAGTATAACCTAAGAACACTCACCATACAATGCTCTATAGTTCCTCTACTCATCTCACAATCAACTGGAAAGTTCTTCAATCCAAGTGATCATTACCCTTGTGCCCTCTCCACAATCATATCACCACCTGGTGAAACTATTCCGCACCTCCAAAAGTCAAGTTACCAACCAAGAAGCAAGAGGATGCCTGACCCTCCGCAACTGCCAGTAGCTCTAAAGGTACGGTCGAAATACCGGCCTTAAATGCGTCCTCATCTCAGCCAAGAGTACCAACAACTCGACCTGCGGCGAACTGCCACCGACGAAATACATACGACATTTCGCCGGAACACCAACTAGAGCGTTCGATAAAGGCTGGGGCAGCGGTGCCTCGGTCTTGAGCTCTCAGTCGCGTTTTCAATCTCCACGGTTAGGGGCACAGCATCGACGGGGCAAGGCCGGAGTGGTGGACATGCTACAAAGTTTCTATGATGACGAGGCTGGCTAAAGGACAGAGGGATGCTACATGAAGGAATAAAAAAAGGGAATACAAACTGAGGAGGCCTTGGTGGGCGACTGGATGAGGCCCTCAATGAAGAAAACGAGCCCTGGATAAGATGAGGTGAGCAAAAGCTGGGAATGAATGGAAGGGAAAAGTTACAAATGGCGAAGGTGTCAAGGGCTCGGGCGCGTGGCGGCCGAGGCTGAGGAGGAATTTGCGCTTCGGTGCGTCAAAAGAGGGTTCTCTGGACGGCTGGGCTTAACATGATTCAACACATGGGTGAAGTCTGGGGTGGTCCGGTCAATCAGGTGGGACGAGGCAGATGTACTTAATGGGAGTTAACCTGATCCAGCCCAGCACCACTCGTGCTTAAGCTCCAGTAGAAGAGCGACGGGAGTCACTTTACCTGGCACGTTAATGAACAAAACAAACCAAACCAAACCATTACTCTTGTGCATTAATATGCTGGCGATAGCCAACATAACTCGGGTCTTAGTTTGTGAGTGAACGATGATTTATGTAGATTCACATGTTGAGAGAGGATAGGCAGCTGGGTCGTCGAACGAGCGAATGTTTGTGCTTATCGTACTACTTGAGTATATGACTATGTAGCACATTGGGCTCCTCTCTGACCCTGGCCACACCTTGTACAGCGCTCCTTGCCTCTTTTGTTGCTTGAAAGATCATTGATATAATGCCCGCGATGAATAGCGATTTAGCCCAGTATTTACCCGCGGAATTCGGTCACCTTTTCCAAAGAATCTTCAACCCAAAATAAATAAAAATAAAAATGGTAGCAATGGAAACTACGTACGCGAGAAAAGGTCTCAAAAAATCTGCAGGCCCAGCCAGGCGAGGCCTAGGCACCGGGACCACATGAGGTGCGCATATTCATCTATATCTCCTTTCTTTGTAATAGTTGAGGCCGACTTGATCCAATCCACCATCTCCGTATCGGGTGCTGGGTACGCTCCGGAAACTCATCGGATGGATTTTGCTTCATGACCAAGGGCTAGTGACAAGTAGGGCTTTGAACCTACCATCTGATCTGATCATGGTTAGCTTCATGATACTGGTGATAGGAAAATATTTTGAGAGATGAAGACGATACAGACCGTGAAAGCGATTGGGAATCCTCATCGAATTGAGGACGGTTTTACTCAATTTCGGCTCTGTAGACTCTACAGTGGGAACTGGAGGTTCCTAGGGGACACCACTGGCAGGTGTTGAGAAAAGTCCCCCTTGGTATCATGTTGATAATAGTTTATGGCCTGTTGGAAATACAGATTCCTGCTTTTCTTTCTATCGACCAATGTGGTTGCATGCATCTTGCCTGAACTACATTTCTGAGGTCAGGCAGGATCCCACACTTCTGATTCAATCGGACTCAACGTTAGAGTCTGCTTGAATCCCATTCTTCCCGAACAAATCCAATCATTGGTTTGTTTGTATTTCTATTGCATGACCCAGTATTCTGAGTCAGTGGATAATTATTTTCTGGTCTGGGGTCCCACTTATTTCTGCAGTCGAGTCGATTCCGGATAACCTCTTTTTTGTAATTCCACTGTATATATCATAATACCTGTTGTCTATTAGTCAATTAAGCAAATTGAACTTCTTCTCCGTTCTCAGGCAATTCTTACTCCGAAGTCTTCTCTATACTCTAACATGGCCTATGTTATGATAAGCTAGCAGAAGCAAAGCGGGTATATTTATGATGGCATGGTCTGAAGATACTGAGTTCCTTACGCTTAGTTTTCTGTCACAACCACAACCTTCGGATCATCTCTGGTCACCTCTAGTATCTTAAGTTACCATTAGCACCCACTCGAACCTTTAGACTCTTTGGATAAGTATATTACCCATCTTTCAAACCTTTAGTTCCTCCATGTTATCTCCAGTAGACTTTTAGCCATCTCTCACATTACGTATAGCCTCTTCTCGCCCTCCAATTCCGCTTCAGCTCAAAAGCCTACGCTCCAATCTTACAGTGCTAAAATAGGAGTTATTGTCACAGATAAACTATGGAAAGCAAGGAGGATTTGTATTGATGATGGTATTTAATAATTCAGCTATAGAGACCTAAGTTCTACCAACTAATCCCGGCATATATACAGATGTATTACATTCTAAGCTCTTCCCTCTAGGGTCAGCCCACTTCTAGATGATTCTAGTTACTACTCCAAGGGTGTTTTTTCTAGCAGCTTCTTTGGAGGTTCTTGTATCTTCTGCGGGGATTTTGCGCCTGCCCAATCCCTGATGGTTGTACACCAGTACTTTCCGGTACTGGCTACAGCAAATACCGGCTCTTGGCTGTTACAGTTATCCTCGAGACTTCTTCTAACTATAGACTGTTGGTACAACGTGGTTCACTTGGTTTAATGCCTTAAAAGTGCTAAAAACAAGTAGTATATTCTGTTTATCTCTTCTGTAAACTATCAGGTATGCCTATTGTACAATCTATATATTGTCAAAAGCGGCATGTAGACAGCAGAGCAGAGTGAAGGCTCAAGACAAGAAGTCCAGTCAAGAGGTTGCCGTCCTACAATTATGCATGAGATAGGTGCATAACCACTCGGCCAAAAGGCCAGACCAGAATCGTAGAACACTGTATCCTTTTATTCTTATGAATCTACTTATTGGCAGATTTTCAAAGCTGTTAAGCTGCAGAGCTCGAGTCGATTTCGACAAAGACAAATTATCGAAGTTTCGAGGCTACAAAATTACGGAGGTCGAAGGTGCGAAGGTACAAATGAAAGTAATCGAGGCTCGAATTATCAAAGGTTACAAATTCATATGTTCAGATTATCATGTTATCAAAATAACGAGTTCCCAATAAGCAAATTATACAATAAACATAAAAGAAACAAAATTTTCAGAACTAAAGAGCTAATTCAAATTTCCAGCCTGAACAAATCTAAATCTCGTTGCCTCAGACCTAACCAAATTAAGAAGATAACCCCTGAATTACCCCACCCAGATAAAATCTAACAAATTCATAACAGTTATCTCCAGTTACGCCCTCAGGGCTCCAAACATGCAATGAGCAAGGCAGTATAGGTGCTTGAACATGAAACACCTACACGTGACATGACTGCCAATCTAGTCTTGGCATTACTCAGCAAACATCCACACCTCATGTATATAGAGCTCGCTGTAGTTACTCCTATTTCTCCTTCCATAGCCAATCTATCTTACATTCCTAAGACTGACTCTCTACCATTTTCATACCTCGTGATTTCTCCACATATATAGATTATACAGTAGGCATTCTTGACATATATCTAGAGATAACCAGAATCTAGTGTTCTATGATTCTGGTCTGGCCTTTTGGCCGAGTGGTTATGCACTGTAACGGCTGGTAAGCCGATTGGTCCATGTAGCCTTTGTTGGTTAACATAGGTCTGATTCGCGTGGCGTTGT